GCAATCCACTCACCTCAGCCTCCCAAAGGTGCGGGATTACAGGCTGAGCCACCGAGCCCGGTTTAAAACCAAAACTTTTTAATCGGACAAATCGAAACAAAAATTGTGTGGCTGGGGACAGTGGCTCATGCTTATAATCCCATCACTTTGGGAGGCAGAGGCAGTACGATTGCTTGAGCTCAGGAATTCAAGACCACTCCAGGCAACAAAGCAAGACCTTGTCTTTACAAAAAAAATAATTAAAAAACAAAATGGCTGGGTGCAATAGCTCACCTCTGTAATCCCAGCACTTTGGGAGGCCAAGGCAAGAAAACTGCCTGAGCCTAGGGGTTTGAGACCAGCCTGGGCAACTTGGTGAGACCTCATCTTTACAATAAATCAATAAAAATTAGCCAGGCAAGGTGGCGTATGCAGCTACTTGGAAGGCTGAGGTGGAAGGATCGCCTGAGCCCAGCAGATAGACTGTGGTGGCCATGAGCGTGCTACTGCACTCCAGCAGCCTGGGCAACAGAGTGAGACTCTGACTCAAAAAAAAAAAACAACAAAAAAAACTAGCCAAGAATGATGGTCCACATCTGCAGTCCGTTACTTGGGAGGCTGAGGTGGGAGGATGATTTGAGCCCAGGAGTTGAGGCTGTAGTGAGCTGTGATTGTGGCATCGCACTCCAGCCTGGGCAAGAGAGACCGTGTCTCCCTCTCTCTCATTTGTCTGTCTGTCTATCTATGGAGACTGCAGAGTATTAAACAAATCATAGGACCTTTTTGAGAGTGGAGCCCTGTGTCACTGCAGGGAGCACACGGCCATGCTCTGCTCCCTCACAGATGAAACACACATTCAGTGGGGACAACAGGGTCTGTCTTATACACAATCGCCTCGCACAACAAAGAGTTCTGTGCTCTATAAATTATCAACAGAGGGAGACTGACATAACACTGAATCAGCACATTCAGGATAACTCTAATTCAGTTTTCTCAAGAATATCCTGGAAGCTGAGGGTAATTTCCCCAGAACACAAGTCTACACACCAATACACCTTTTGCATATAGTTCAAGGTTGTTCATGGAGCCCTTATAGAAACCTACTCATCAACCCAGGAGGGTCTACGCAGACCCGTGATAAAGGATTTCTACATGAAGGAAGGGTAACAAAATTCATGTGGATAGCTCTCATTTGAGAAGGAAAAAAGACTGGACAGGCAACTTCCCTCAACAGCTCCGGGGAAAGACGGAGATTCAGAGGAAAGATAGGTGACCCCTACGGGGAAATTTGGAAAACCCACCTCCCCTGTACACCTCCTTGCTTGGGGCATGGCGACCCACTGGGTTTGTACAGGCTCGTTGATGTCAAATCCAGACTCCACTATTTTTTTTTCCAGTTAGGATCTTGCTCTGTCATCCAGGCTGGAGTGAAGTGGTGCCAACACAGCACACCACAGCCTCAACCTCCTGGACTCAAGCCGTCTTCCCACACCAGCCTCCTGAATAGCTAAGAATTCAGGCACCACCACGCCTGGCCAATTTTTAAATTTTTGGTAGAGACGAGGTCTTGCTCTGTTGTCTACGTGGGTCTCAAACTCCTGGGCTCAAACAATCCTTCCACCTCAGACTCCAAAGTGCTGGGATGACAGGTGTAATCTGACTGTGTGACTTTGAGGGAGTTACTTTGTCTCCTCTTCTGCATAATGGGACAAGAATGGTGGTTAGCTCACGGGGTTGTCGTGAGGGCTAAATGAGGACACACGTGTCATGTATGAGACGAGCGCCCAGCACACAGTAAGCGCTCAATAAATGCTAGTGACAGTGATGCACATTAGTGCTCTTAGTCGCTACTCGGCTGAGTATCTCTCACATTTGTGATTTTCCCAGGCCACCCAAGGTCATCCCACGTTTCTGTGACTTCAACCTTCCTATGCTATATCCCTGTCATCATGGTACAGTCTACCCTGACTCATCAATAAGCTCCCATATCCCTTTCAAATGATGGTACTTTCCGAGTTTTATTCATTGTCCAAATGACTATAGCAATACGAAATGAAATGTCAAAAGACACATAATCACACATAATCAGATAACCCTGATGAATAATCAAAAAAGCTATTCATGTGCCCATATCTCTGTCCAGCCTTTGTTCCTTTGCAGACATATGTTTTACTTTATTGGGTCAAATTACACATACTATCTTGAATTTTTTTTTTTTTTGAGTTGGAGTCTCACTCTGTCACCCAGACTGGAGCGCAGTGGCTGCTCCCAGCCACCGCAGCCTCGACCTGCTGGGCTCCGGCGATTCTTCCGCCTCAGTCTTCCAAGTAGCCAGAATTAGAGGCATGCGCTACCACGCCTGGCTGATTTTTTGATTTATTGTAGAAATGAGGTCTCGCCACCCAGGCAGGTCTCGAACCCGGGGGCTCAGGCAATCCCCTCATCTCAGCCTCCCAAAGGCGTGGGATTACAGACTGAGCCACCAAGCCTGGCTATCTTGGTTTTTTAATTTGTTTGTTTTCTGTATTTCACATGCAAAGTGCTTTTTGTCTCGGTACAAGCTCTGCTTTGGCACAGGAGAGCATGAGACAGACTGGGACCGAGGTAAGGGACCAACAGGGGTGAACGAGTAAACACTGAAACAGAATACTGAAACAAAAATACTCAACACTGAAGAAGTTGAAAGGCAAAACAGAACATTTGCTTCAGCAATTCAATTAACATGTGATGATCCTTGGCAAAATCCATTTCATGCAAGCGTTCCCCTTGGTCAATCTTTTCCAAGAGGATGAAGCTTGCTGAGTGGAACTTAACAGCAATTTTTGATTAAAAGGCCCCTTCAGAGCCGGGCTCGGTGGCTCAGGCTGTAATCTCACGCCTTTGGGAGGCTGAGGTGAGTGGATGGCCTGAGCCCGCGGGTTCGAGACCCTCCTGGGCGGCAAGACCTCATTTCTACCATAAATAAAAAAATCAGCTGGGAGTGGTAGCGCATGCCTGTAATTCCAGCTACTCAGAAGGCTGAGGCGGAAGGATCACTGGAGACCAGCAGGTCCAGGCTGTGGTGGCCGGGAGTGGCCGCTGCGCTCCAGTCTGGGCGACCGAGTGAGACTCCAACTCAAAAAATAAAGTAAAATAAATAATAAAAGGCCCCTTCAGGCCGGATGTGGGGGCTAACATGGAGGCCAAAGCAGAAAGACTACTTGAGACCAGGAAACCAGGTTGTGCCAGTGAGACTTACATCTTTTTTTTTTTTGAGGTGGAGTCTCACTCACTCTGTCACCAGGCTAGAGTTCAGTGCCACACTCATGGCCACCCCAACATCGACCTGCTGGGCTCCAGCGATCCTTCCACCTCAGCCTACCAAGTAGCTGGATCTACACATGTGTGCTACCATGCTCAGCTAATTTTTGATTTATTGTAGCGACAAGCTCTCACCAAGTTGCCTGGGCCAGTCTCAAACCCGCAGACTCAGGCAATCCACTCGCCTCGGCCTCCCAGTGTTGGGATTACAGGCTGAGCCACTGAGCCTGGCCCCCAACCTCTTAAAAAAAAATTATTTTGAGTCAGGGTCTCACATTGTCACCCAGGCTGCAATGCCAAAACACAATCACAGCTAGTGACAATGCAGCCTTAACCTTCTGGGCTCAGGCAATCCTCTTGCCTCAGCCTCCTGAGGCTGGGACTACACTCCACCATAACTGGTTAATTAAAAAAAATTTTTTTTTTGAGTTGGAGTCTCACTTGGTCACCTAGACTGGAGTGCAGTGGCCGCTCCTGGCCACTGCAGCCTCGACCTGCTGGGCTCCGGCGATCCTTCTGCCTCAGCCTTTCAAGTAGCTGGAACTACAGGTGTGTGCTACCATCCCCAGCCTCTACAAAATACATATTTTTAAAAATTGACAGGCATGGTAGCACATGCCTGTAGTTCCACAGAGCTGGGAGGCTGTCGGGAGGATCACTTGAGCCCAGGAGCTTGAGGGTGCAGTGAGCCATGACCTTGCTACTGTCCTCCAGCTTGGGTGACAGAGCAAGATCCCTTCGCAAAAACAACTGTATACAAAAAGCAAACAAGGAGGTCGCTTCTCAGTTCTAGACCTCAGAGTATTCTTTCAAGAATGTGACACAAGCCAGGCTTGGTGGCTCAGCCTGTCATCCCGCGTCTTTGGGAGGCTGAGGTGAGTGAATTGCCTGAGTTCGAGACCTGCCTGGGTAGGCGAGACCTCATCTCTATAATAAAATAAAAAAATCAGCCGGGCGTGGTAGCACACGCCTATAATTCCGGCTACTCGGAAGGCTGAGGTGGAAGGATCGCCGGAGCCCATCAGGTCGAGGCTGTGGTGGCTGGGAGCGGCCACTGCACTCCAGTCTAGGCGACAGAGTGATACTCCAACTCAAAAAAAAAAAAAAAAGTGACACAAAATGGCTTCTTTCCAAATAATACATCACAGCAGGGCAGAGCCTAATCGTATTTATGTGGTGGAATGCCAGGAAGAGCTTTACCAGGCAGCATACAATGGCTACAACCCAACAAGCTGTCTGTTCTGAAAGAATGCTTTCCCACAGTCAATTATCTTATAGGTTTTCTGGCTGGTGTGAGTTTTCTGGTGTGTGACAAGGGAGGAGCTCTGACTGAAGGTTTTCCCACACTCTGTACACCCATACGGCTTCTCTCCAGTGTGAGTTCTCTCATGCCTCACGAGGGAGGACCTCTGGCTGAAGGCTCTTCTACACTGATGACACTCATAGGGGTTCTCTCCGGTGTGAGTCCGCTCATGCTGGTTGAGAGAGGAACGGTCACTGAAGGCTTTCCCACACTCACTACATTCATAGGGCTTCTCACCGGTGTGCGTTCTCTTGTGCAAAATCAGGTAAGAACTCTGGCAGAAGGATTTCCCGCAGTCTTCACACCTATAGGGCTTTTCGCCGGTGTGAATCCTCTGGTGTTGCGTCAGAGAGGAAATCCTGTTGAAGGCTTTCCCGCACTCACTACATGTGTAGGGCTTCTCTCCAGTATGAGTCCTCAGATGGCGTGTCAACGTCGAGTTGTGTGTGAAGGCTCGCCCACACTCCTGACACCCATAGGGTTTCTCTCCTGTATGAATTCTCTGATGTTCACTCAAAGAATGTCTTCGGTTAAACACCTTCCCACACTGGTGACATTCAAAGGGTTTCTCAGCTGGATTAATTTTGTTGTTTATGGTAAGAGCCATGCCAGGATTCAATGATTTCTCGTTTTCCACATACACAAAAGTTTCCCCACTCGCTGGAGTGATTTCGTGTTGAATACGGTGGTTGTTTTGGCTGAGAGTGTTCCCACATTCGTTACTCTGACAGGTTCTCTGATATGCACATCCTCCCAGATGGTGGTTTAAGATTGAATCGGATGCCAAGCTCTCAGTATCTAGCTCACTGTCACAGAAGTGTTTTCCTATAGCGCCTCCCCGTGCTAAAACAAAGTCTGAGCTCAGATGACTGTTTTCCCCAAATACATGCCATTCAGGCGCCATCTTCTGAGCCACTACCTGTACTTGAATGGAGACCATTTGCTTCAAAAGCTCCCGGGGTTCTTTGTGGCTTTCCTCAAATCGGCCACATCCCCAGTCTTCTTGGCTAAGCCTCATGATAGCCATACCCCTGGATGGTTCTTCCCCCAAAAGCATCTTCTTATAAGTTGACTCTTGGTTTTTCAGTCTAGTCTTCCAATCTGAAATAGAGTGAAGGAAAAAAAAAATTTTTTTTTTTTTGAGGAAGAAACTGCTACTGTAAGAACAGGCCAGGCTCGGTGGTGGCTCAGCCTATAATCTCAGCATCTTGGGAGACCAAGGTGAGAGGACTGCCTGAGCCTGCAGGTTCGAGACCAGCCTGGGCAACTTGGCAAGGCCTCGTCCCTACAATAAATCAAGAATTAGTCAGATGTGGTAATGCATGCCTGTAGTTCTGGCTACTTGGAAGGTTGAGTCAGAAGGATCATCAGAGCCCAGCAGGTCGACGCTGGGGTGGCCGGGAGCGTGCCACTGCACTCCGGCCTAGGTGATGGAGTGAAACTCTGACTCAAAAAAAAAAAAAAAGAACAGTTGGACAAAGTACTTCCAACATATACAAGGCCCATGTGGATGTTCAAATATCAGCCTTCAACATGGGGGAAGAATGGAAGAAGGAGAAATAGGTCAGTCAGCAAGGGGGCTGAGGATGGGACAGGGTAGGAAGTTTGGCAAAGATGGAAAAATGGGGGAAATATAAATGTAGGGAGAATGACTCCATGAAGAAGGGAGAATAAGGGCGCTAGTGAGAAAGAATGATCAAGAATGCAAAGAGGAAAGAGACGTAACTAGAAAGAAAGGTTGAATGATTTCAAGGAGAAAACGAGATGTTCCCATTAAGGTATTGGAGAAAGGTATCTTGGAGTTCTCTTTACACAATTATCTCTGATCAACGGTCCCCAAGGCACTACTGCCATCCCCAATGGCTCATACCAGCCTGAGTCTCACCTAAACAGGACGCTTGGGGATCTCCTTTTTCCTCCATCCACAGGGCTTCTGCTTGCCCCAAGTGGAAAGGCTCCACTGGTCGGAAGAGAGAGTGCTCTGTCCATGGGGAGAGACTGGTGACTTGAGGAGTGTGTGCTGGGGAAAACAGACCACCTCCAAAACCTGTATCTGCATGTTGGCTCTTCAGGCCATCTAAAAGAGACAAGACTACATTACAGAGGTAGCAGATTGGCCAAGCTAAATAATTTATTTTCCTGATTTAAAAATTAGAGATCTAGGCTGGGTTCGGTGGCTCAGCCTGTAATCCCAGCACTTTGGGAGGCCGAAATCAGTAGACTGCCTGAGCCCGTGGGATTGAGACCAGCCTGGGCAACTTTGTGAAACCTCGTCTCTGCAATAAATAAAAAATTAGCCAGGCATGGTAGTGTGTGCCTATAGTTCCGGCCACTTGGAAGGCTGAGGCAGAAAGACCATCAGAGCCCAGCAGGTCAACACTAGGGTGGTCATGAGCATGCGTGTCACTGCACTCCAGCCTCGGCGATGGAGTGAGACTCCAACTCAAAAAAAAAATTAATAATAAATAAAAATTAGAGATCTTTTTTTTTTTTGAGTTGGAGTCTCACTCAGTCACCCAGACTGGAGTGCAGTAGCCGCTCCCGGCCCCCGCAGCCTCGACCTGCTGGGCTCCAGCGATCCTTCCGCCTCAGCCTTCCGAGTAGCTGGAACTACAGGCGCATGCTACCACGCCCCGCTAATTTTTTGATTTATTGTAGAGATGAGGTCTCGCCAAGTTGCCCAGGCAGGTCTCGAACCTGCGGGCTCAGGCAATCCACTCATCTCAGCCTCCCAAAGGCGCAGGATTACAGGCTGAGCCTCCAA